AGATGATGTTTTAGGGATGGATGTCTTTGGTATTTTAGTATATACTGAAACACGAAATCATGGGTATACAAGTGGTAGAATACCAATGGTGTATATAAAATGTCAAATAACTTGCCAGCCAAAGTGCATATATGTGACAGAACTTTCGTTCAGACGGTTTTACCATCAATGGGATTTGTATAATGCTCACAGATTAATGGAATATGAGTGATCAGTAAAAGTGGTACATTGACTGCTCTCTCTGACTCCCTTTTTTGCTTTCAGTTTGTGTCTGTCTCTCTATGCTTTCTTCTGTCTCTTCCCTTCCCCTGCATTGCATGATGCTTAACCGACCTCTTTTTATTATACTGAAAATTTCACTTACTGGTCAATTCTCTCTCTTGCTTGGTCCCTCTCTCTCTCTCTCTCTCTCTCACTACTCTCACTAACTCGCTCTATCTCCCCCATCTCCCTCTTTCTCTCGTTGTTTGCTTGGCGTCGATCCCATTGTATTTCACCATATATAGTCATCCCTATGATGACTAACACATTGGCTCCGTGCGTGATAAGCACAAAGAAACCATGAGCAATACTGAACAGGTGACACAAAATATGCGACAGAGAAGACTCACATAATCTACGCAAAATATCCACTCCGGTTGGCACTTGTTCCATCAACTTGGATACCAACCAAACAGAGACGAACAGTAATTTAAACACCACAGGTTACAGACGGCGAGTGTCCTTCGTAGTTGGGACACGTCTTATTTAATAGACAGGGTGTGTAACATGATGTACTTCGTGCTCTTTGGTATTGGTATGAGTCGTGTAGCAGCAGGTAGGGCATGAACAGAGGAACCAAAAGCAGCATCGGAGGTAACATGTCGGTGGGCTGGCCACTACTGGTGGCGGTATTGCGCAACAACCGAGGAATGTATTACCGCTGATCGTGCAGCAACGAAAAGAGCACCGCCCTGTTGTTGTAGTGCCCGGAAATTCGGCCACCAAGCAGAACCCTAGCGAAGGTGCAAGTGAGGGATAAGAGATTGTGCATTGAAGAAAGTATGACGACCGAGGTACGATGCATGTGAAACGTGCGAGCACACATAGTTTCTGACATTAACAGTCGTTAGCTGAAGAAGGTAGAGCCTCCAACAGACGGGACTAAACAACGCACACCTGGGAGTTAAGGCAGGAACTGTTGCAGCTGCGCAGTTGTGGGCGGTGAGAAGAGGGCTAGCGCAACGAAGAGGATAACGAATAGATCATCACACTTCGGAGCCCTCTGTCTCCCTCTTACGTGGAAGGTGCTACTCCTCAGGCTGAAGATGTAGCTAGAGGCAACGTTAGTGCCTTTGGATTCCCAGTGGCCTATATGTACAGGTATCACAAGGAATGGCGTTTCCAAAAGTTGTGCTTGTTCAGTCTACGAGCGCTCAAAGGAACCAAAACTCAACTTAATAAGGCCGACTTTCCTTTCGGTTGGAAACTCTCTACTTTTTTATAAACCACCCACCCATTGGGAACAAAGATATGCTTTCAAGAGCTCAGAAACGCAATGCATGCATGACTTTTGGTCTTATCAAAGCAGAAGCTAAACATGGAATTGTTGGGCAGTTGAAAAATATCTTCATGTATGCTCCTCTGACTAATATATTTTTACTAATGTATTCCCAGTATCTTCAATGCTCGGTGTTGTTCTTATTGGTCTACATGTTGAAGATCAGGGTGGTATGGTAAAAGCTTTCAACTCGGTTGACATTTTAGTAATTTCATTTGTCATTAGTTTTAATTAACACTGCATTCAATGCTTACCTTTTGTTGGGAGTTAATATCTGACCATATTTGCTTAGAGTCTCATTAACATTCTCAATTAACTGCATTTGAATTAAATAACTCTCCCTTGAAGTATTAATTTGTAAAGCATATTCAGAAAATTGTGGACCAGGTCAGGTTGGGACCTAGGGTTGCAACATAGTCATAAATTCTCCATCTTTCAGATAACCTTATTTGTTGCTGAGGCTTGTAAGTTGAGGGTTAATATTGTTTGTTGCTGAAGCTTGTAAATTGAAAAAGCTTTCCAGTCTTGACTTGAGAAAGTGTCTTCCTTATTTACATAATTATCCCCTCTTGAACATAAAATTTATCAAGAAAAAACGTCTTTAATTAGAGTATTACAATTATAAGCTAGAAATATGCTTTCTATCTATAAAATATAAATTTTGGCACTATCTATTGTAAATAAACACTACACTAGAGGGTAAAAACATCTCAATTCTTTTTCTTCCCTCTCTTCATCATTCTCTATTTTTTCTTAAATAGATCACCTATCCAAGAGACGCTATTTAGTCAATTTCTCCAAGTGACCATCTGATGGGCTCCCATTGATGCGAATGAGGACCCAACTCGTTGACCGCACGTAGGAAGACTAAACCTCCACATCCTGCTGACTGAGTCAGCCGTGAAGGGAGATCATGCGGACCAGAAGAGGGCGTAAGGAAGAAAAGACTGAGAGAGAAGGAAGGAGGAGCGGGAGGACGAAGATGAACTAGATGAGGAATGAGAACGATACAAACCAAGATGGACGGTTTTGAGGTTGCCGATGCGAGATGGTGAGTCTCTGGCTCCCAAGGGAATTCCTTACAACGATTCTTCTCCCCTTTCTCTAGAGGTCACCCTTCTATCTTATAGAACTCGTGGAGCCTCAACGCCCTTCCTTCTTGATGGGACTCAGTACAAGATGGGAGCCGTCGATGTTGTATCCTACGATTTGAGTAGGTTTGTCATCGGATCCTTCTGCTGCCCTCGTCTACTGTCTTGTATGATCCATTGCAAGTTCCCACGTCCCGTCGTCTTGTGCTATACTCAGACCGTAGCACTGGATTGGGCCGGCTTCATTGAGCCTGCGCTCTCCTCGCCCCAGTTCTTGCTATTAGGGCCTCATCACCATCCCTCTTCCCCTATTTATGCATTTCGTGTTAGGCTCATGTTTTCGCACTATTCTCTATTGGACACTACTACGCCTCTTCAAAAGAAGTTGACCTAATCTACGTTATCATGAGTTCTATTTTGTATCTTAGTTGAAGGGCTGAATGTAATGGCCCTTAACTTAAGGACCATTTAGAATCCATCTAGTAATGGTTTCATGTGACAATCGTGTGACAATCGTGTTCCCTCTTACTATGTGGTGTAAATACACAACTGACCCGTACATGAGTTATGATATCTGTGTGATCTTTCTCTCTAATTCTCTGTCACCCCCCATTTCTCTCTCCCTCTTCGCCTCACGCTCTCCGCTCTCTCTCTCTTCTACTTTTCTCTCCGCTTTTTTTCTACATTGTTTCTATGCCCGAGATAGAGTTGACACATCCGACCTTCTGATCAATCTTTAAGATCACTTAAAAAGATATATATGGAAGAAACTTAAGGGAAGCTTAATCGAACATAAAGTTGTATCTCAGACATCGGAGCGTCTATGATATGCGTGAACTGAATGCAATCCATGCCAGTATTCATTTGCTTATGGATAAAAAAATGTGCACTAGAATGATACTGAGGTGACTTCTCCAGATTGTGACCTCCACACTGGTTTCGTCAACTCTTCATGTGATTATTGAATTCAACGATGTCCTATCTTCTTTCAATTTAGTTCACCAATGTACCCGAGGAAAAAACGAAAATAGTTATTTAATGCTTTATCTTTGACAAACTATCGAGTACAGAATATAATCATATCTTATGATTTATGCACTAGAGTAATCTCACTCCTAGTTTATTTTCGTAAAGTTTCCCTACTACCTGATGAAATGTAGTTGAAATTATTATTTTGTTGATAACGGTGACTTAACCTTCTTTTCCCCTACTTAACTGTATACTGCCTCGTGAAGGTAATATACTCGTGAAGGTAACGATAACTATTCTTTAAAGCAAAAGAGAGCTGGTGCTGGTGAGGGTACTGGCTATGGCTGGTCACAATAGCAAATTCATCTGGGTCTGGTGACTATGTCAGATCTGTTGACAGTTACGTGATTGCATGCAATACTCGGCGAACTAACCTGTTTTCTGGTTTCATGAAAAGATAGTGTCACTTATATTAGGATATAGGAGCAGAATTTGTATCTTGTATCTTCTTTCTCACAACTGCATAGTTCTGTAAGAAAAGGAAAATTTCAGAGCGGACACAATAATTCAAGCCGTTATGAAACTATTTGACCTATGACGTGTGGCGTATTGAATGAAAGTGTGATCCGGAAGATCTTAGTCAGAATAAGCATATGAGAGGCTATTAAAAGCGGGGAGGTAACAGATAACAGGTTAAATTTGAACGGTAACAAGTTCCCTGAGGTAGCCCCGACAGTAAGTCAACAATTAAATTCGTCAGTCAGACCTTGGGTGAGATACAAGGATTTGAACGTCAAATAATCAAGCGAGAATCTCTTACCTTCAGGTATAAAAGTCTGGCCGCCCGCTGGTTAAGAGTTTACAGATGCCGTAATGATTTTCGTAGAGAACAAGGATAGAAGGGGAGAGAAAAATAGATCTCATTGGAAACCTGAAAATCATATATTGCCCACCATTCAGTTCAAGGTAGTTTTCCCTTCGTGTTGTTGCTTCATTTCCTCAGCGGAGTCATCCACACCAGTCTAGACACATTTCACATCGCACAACGACCGTTTATATCGGAACGTTAGTAAGAAATCTTAATTTCGTTTATTTATTAGACAACGATGGTAGATATATTTTCCTTATTAAAGCAATGATCTTGGCATGTAAACATAAATGACTAGTATAACAGTATCACTCTTAAAGATCATCCACAAAGTCAGGACGTCAACATGTGATATGATACTTCAGTGTCACAATTCACTCTTACAATGCGGTCTAGCCGCTTTCAGAACAAGAAAATCACACGCGTTACATAGGCAATAACTATACCCCATCACACGTTACAAGGACATTATTCTCGACTTTAGATCAATCCTTGATACGACGACTGGTAGCCATTGGCCGGATATCCCGATTCAACGCTTAGTAATGATCACACTAAAAGGAATCAACTGCTTGATTATGATCGGTGTTGAAAGGACAGAATTTAACCCGGCCTTGGGTGTACAAACCAGCGGGTGAGCCTTAGAAAAGGTCGCACCATGCCCCTCCGTCATGTCCACCAACCCTCCCTCGACACTCAGGTTGAAGCAGTGTATCACGTTCGCCAGGGTTGTGTGAATCAACTGCAACACCAAGGATAAACCCGGGCACCTCCTCCTGCCGCTGCCAAAGGGCAACAAGTGGTAGTGCTGGTCTCTGACATCAATACCGAAACTCCGCCCTTTCGGCGTGAACCTTTCCGGCCGGAACTCCAGCGGGTTCCTCCACTGGGTCGGGTCTCTGCCGATCGCCCAAACATTACGATCCCCTTGTCCGCCGGGATGTTGTAGCCCCTAAATTTGCATGGCGCATTTGATTGGCGCGGGAGGATTGGAACGGCGGGGTGGAGTCTGAGCGTCTCTTTGACGATCGCCTGGAGAAAGGGCAGGTTTTGAATGTCGGACTCCTCCACCAGCCTGGATTCCCCGACCACCGAGTCGATCGCTCGCCTTGCATCCTGTTGGATTCCCGGTTTGTTTATCAGCTCTGCCAAGGCCCGTTCCATTGTGGTGGATGTCGTGTCTGAGCCGGCCATGAAGAGGTCCTCTGTAGAGAGGACCGCCAAAGAAAGTGGAACGTGAAACCCAGTTGCAAGGAGGACCGTAGAATGTCGATGGAAAGCAGAAGAAGATGGTGAGGGCGGAGTCGTCGAAGTTACATCAATGAAGCTCCTGAAGTTGTCTCCCGTAAACATCATTTCCGCACCCTGGTCTTCCGATATGTCGTGTAGTACGCGAAGGAAACCTCGGACAACGCCGCCGGCCACCGTCTTGCCGGATTCCTTTGTCCTTAGGGCTTCCTCATTGAGGATTCACTCCATTAGACTGTCGAATCTGCGACGCACGTCTACGTACCTTGTTTTGAGATGTTGCAAGTCGAGCTTCTCACGGATTCCTACGTAGTCGGCCACGTTGGGCGTGCTTATGATCGCCACTGTCTCCTCCACCATTCTCTTCATTTTCTAGACCTTGCCGTCCGTTCCAGAACACCTCCTTCCCATAGTCATCCCGCAGATGACGTTGTTAGTAAGCCTTGTGAGCACCACCCCGACATTCATCTCCTCTCCCCTCTCCGCCTTCTCTTGCAGCATCTCCAAGAACGTTCCCATCTCGTCTGCCTGACCCACTGTAGCTGCTCCAACATCCGACCACCCAGTAACTCCGACAGGCTCTCTCTTGTTGTGGCTGCGACAGAGGCCAGAAGAAACGGGACCGAGCCTAGCCAGATATGGAACAGGGGACCACGTGCCCCTATCGGTCCTAGCCGGTCGAGCCCCTGCTCGCGGCTCCTCCCCGACTGCACTTCCGACCCGCTTGCGGGCCCGGCTGGCTGGCGGGTCCCCCCCCCCATTTTGCTATATTTTTATTTTTATTTTTTTTTCTTCATTTATCTCAAAAGTAAGACTATAAAAATCATATAAATTCGTATAAAATTACATAATTATCCAAAAAATCACGTTAATCAACTGAAAACCACTTTTCACACTTTAACATAAATATAAGTCTATTTATCATGAGTTAAGGCTAAAATTATATTATTTACTAATTATTAACTCATGAAAAGGAAGACTTATTACCTCCCATCATCATCTTCATTCTTCTACTTCTGTCTTCAACTCTTGGATTTGCTCTCTTTGCTCCTACATCATCTGCTTCAACAATTCATTAGTAGCCAAGGTGGCTTCATTTTGAGCCAGATGGGTTGCTTGAATGGACTGAAAATTCTGTGGGCATAAGATTGGCTGGAAAGGAGCTTGTTGCTGAAAATTTTGAGTTGTTTGAGGGAGAAATGATGGTTGATAGGTATTACCACTTTCTCTTTTATAATTATAGTTGTTGTAATTGTTATAATGTGCTATGTAGGCAGGAGGTTGAGGTGTTCTTTCTAGCTATGAGTTTCCTGCAACAAGTTGAAGCGGCCTAACTCTATCATTTATAGCCAGCAACCTTTCATGTCTAGGACACTCTATTTCTACATTTTCATAACTAGAACAAAGGACACATGCAGTCATATCTTAGACATACTTGAGCAAGGACTGCTGATGACCTATCCATCAAGATTTTTATATCTTTCGTCAATTTATCAAACTTTTCTAAAAACATTTTATATTCAATAGCTTTTGTTTCAATCATTTCACCTCTTCTAAGCCCTATTTACCTTCCATTTTGATTTAATGATATATGATGATTATTATTTTCAACCAACATTTCAATTAAAATCTAGGGCTTCATCATCAAATTTATTCATAAATGTCCCACCACTAGCAGCATCAATCATGTGTCTATCTTTATCTCTTAATCCTTCATCAAATATTTGAACTGACAATTTTGAATCCCATGGTGGGGACATTGTCTTAGTATATTCTTTCATTCTCTCCCAAGCCTCATAAAATGATTCTTGTGGTTCTTGATTAAAATATCTTATTGCCTTTCTCATGGCATTAGTTCTCCTTTCTGAATCAAATTTCTTTAAGAAAGTGGTCTCCATTTCACCCGATGAATTTAAGTCTTGGGCTAGGGTTCTAAACCACTCTTTTGCTTTATCTTTAAGGGTAAAAGTACATAATCGCATTTTGATCACTTCTAATAGATGTTAGGAAAATAAGAAATCTTACATACTTGAGAAAAATCTTCTAAATGCTTGTATGGTTCCTCATGACTCAATCTATGAAAATTTGCCAACATTTGCACAATAAGATGATCTACTCTAAAATTCACCCCCTCACCTATAGGTGCATTCACTCTAGTTACTCAATGGTACTGGAGAGGGACAGAATGGCCTTTCAACCTCATTCTCTCATTGTTTGGGTTTTGTTGGGCCATTTGATTTTCTTTTAGTGTAGAATTTTCTGAAGTGTTTGAGCTAGATGTTTCGGTCTAATTTTTTTCAAGGGTCACTAAAGGATTTTTTAAGGATTGTGACCTTGCATAGAATATGGCTAAATGAGTATTGTCAAAGGGAAAAGAAGAAAAAATACAGAAAATGACAATGGTGGATGAAAGTCAATATATCAAAACACTTTCACCTTGACTACTTCAATTTAAAAACGTAAATTCAGTATATAAAAAATATCAATTTAAAAGATTTAAAGAAATACAATAAACATTATAAACTTCTATTTCAGTAAAGCTTTATCTGTCTCGATGATAGATTATGAAAATTTTCAACAATAGACGTATTAATGTATGGATATTCAATAAATTTCTTCTTTAAAATCAACAATGATGGAATTTAATTCAAGTAAAAAGCTACTCACATCTAATGGCATTTGATTAAACAAAATCGAGGGTCATTGAAAAGCTCCAAAATCAATTAATCAAAAATATTTAGAATCACGAATTTTTCAAATTAAATTACTAAAAAGGTAAGTATTGTGGTAAGTTTGCAATCGATCTATAGGGAATGAGAATTAGGCACTTAGTTACTATAATATTTAATTTATAGCTTTAGATGAGATGAACTCAAAGAAGAAAATGCAATGGCAGATAAGAAGGATATTTATTGTTGGAAAAAAAGGAGAAACAACAATTCAATGATGCAGAAAATGATTAAGAGGAAAAAATACTCACAAAATAATTATAATACAAATTTAATAATGTACCTCTATCTATTCAAACCTATGAATGCTAGAAAATTGTTCACACTCAGAAGGCATCAAACCTAGAGAAACTTATCTTGGGCCTCTATATTTTACTAAGGCCAAGTGGTTTCCTCTTTGAGTATACTTTTTTGATGATCTTAGTTGTGAACCAAAGCTTGAATCAACTCAAAATATATCAAGATTGATGCGGAACCTCAATGTGGTTTCATTCAAGCTGATTAAACATCGAGACATTCAAAGTTAGGTTTTCCATCCTTAAACGGTGGCTTCAATGTGTAAGGGTTTACATGAGGATATGAGAGTATATGTGTAGGGCTGACATCTAGCTTCTTGTGAGTTGGTTCATTTGAGATCATCTGATCTAAGGTTGTAATTAAGTGAGGACATTTTTGTCTTTTTGGCCACAATAAGATGAAACAAGAGTCGGTTTTCTCTTGGGTTGATTTGAAGCATTGAATTTGGAGGTCTTATCATGCCCATAGGATCTTCCTTAATGTTGAGATCCATTGCACCCTCAATAAGTATGCTCCATTTGCCGTTGATTGTGTAGACACTCTCAATGGCTTTCGATCTCCTCATTTAGTGATGCCGCATGTCAGTGTCTCGACCCTTGATTCCGTCACCTCATCTCCACAGATCAAATATTGTCCACAGAAGCATATATTAACTTCCTAAAAATAATAAAAAGATATCAAAAATTCTTAAAATTTTCTCATATTAATAAAAAATTAATTATGACTGTAAAACTCAGAGAAACATTCCAAAAAAATCTCTAAAATATTAAACTTCACGAAATAATAAATGTTTCCTTTTTTAATATGATAACATGCTAGATTATATATTTAAGCTCTTGAATAAAATAATTCTTACACTTTTTATGTGATAATCAACATGCTACCACTATCATGCCGGTAATAACTTCTCAAAATATTTCTTTACCCACTCCAGCACTTTGTCTCCATCATTTCCATGCTCTATAAACAATTCCTAGAGGTGAGATGAGTGTTTTCTCAATTTTGTTGTAGAATGAAAGAATTTTGTATCTCGATCCCCTTCCTTTAGTCATTTTATTCTAGCTTTCTTCTGGCAAAAAAATCTCATGCTGGACTAAGGTTTCTTCAAAAAAAGTATTTTTTTCATGAGCTGTCATCATTCCTTATCATCTCATCTCTCCTATAGTTTGTCTTCCAATCCTTCAATTTTCTTTTCCCTAACATCTAACCTAAGCTTAATGTCTCCAAAGATATTTCTATTTTCCACTACCTCAAATGTTGCTTAATGTTTCTAACCTGAAATGAGAAATTGGTCATTAGATAGGTAGAGATTGATTCTCCCCATCTCTACTTCACAGTCTTGAAATCCCTCACACCTAATTGATAACATGTTGATAATCATGCGAAAAGTGTAAATCTTATGACCTAGCATGTTATCATATTAGAAAATAAATATTTCTTATTTCTTGAACATTTCATGAAGTTTAATATTTTAGAGAATTTTTTGAATTTTTTCTCTGAGTTTTACAGTCATAATTAATTTTTTAGTAATATGAAGGGATTTCAAGAATTTTTGATATCTTTTTGTGATTTTTACGAAGTCAATGATATTTGATCTAGAGATGATGCATTAGAATCAAGGGCCGAGGTGCTGACATGTGGCATCACCAAATAAGGAGATCAAACGCTGTTGATAGTGTCTATATGACTAACAACAATAGAGCATACTTACTAAGGGTGCAACAAATCTCCACATTAGGAAAGATCCTACGGCTATAATAAGATCTCCAAATCTCCAAATCCAATGCTTCAAATCAAATCTAAGAGTAAACTAACTTTTCCCCTATTTTATTGCTGCCAAAAAGATAGAAAAACCCTCACTCACTCACAACCATAGACCAAATGATCTCAAATGAACCAGTTCCCTAGAAGGCCAATATCTGCCCTACACATGTAATCTCGTACCCTTGTATAAACCCTTACACATTTAAATTGCTGTTTAGGGGTGGAAAACCAAACTTCACATGTCCTAACATCTAGTTGGCTTGAATGAAATAATATTGAGGTTCTACATCAATCGTAAATGTGTTTTGGTTTGATTCAAGTGTGGATTCACAACTTAGATCATTGGAGAAGTTTACTTAAAGAGGAAACCACCTGGCCTTATCAACATATAGAGGCCCGAGGTAAATTCATCTAGATTTGATGTGTTCCACATGTGAACAAACCTAGATATTTGTAGGTTTGAAATAGAGAGATTTATGTTTTCAAATTTACATTATGATTCTTCCATGTGTTTCACCTCTCCATCATCATCCACATCATTGAATTTTTATTTCCCCCTTTTTTCAATGGTAAATATCCTTCTTACTTACCATCACCTCTCCTTCTTCGTGTTCATCTCATTTCAATATATCAACTAAATAGAATAGTAGCTACCTATTGTCTAATTCTCATTCCCTATGGATCGACCTCAAATATATCATAGTACTCACTTATTTTAGTATTTTAATTAGGTAAATTCGGAATTCCAAATGTGGAACACGGGAGAGGGAGAGGGAGAGAATGACAAGAAAAAATGACATGCTAATTTACATGGTCTGGAGAAACCTTCTATGCCAATAGTCACACAAAAATCATACTTCGTTTAGGAGATGATATTTCAAAGCCTTCTAGCAGCGACATGCCTTTGTGTATCCTAACATATTGAGATGGCTGTGCTCCCTCTCAACACAAGGTTAGGGTCAAAGTACGAAAGTCCATTAGAGCCTGTTAGGATTCATGTACTCGTTGAATAGCCCTTTGTAATCCAATAGGGCCCAACAGGAGGTCATTCTATGACTCCAACAATACTACCTTAGAACCTTCAGCACTCCAAATGTCTACACCTACTCAATCTGTTGGCAGGTGAGCAGCCCTTGGAAGCTCCATCAATAAATTAAAAATCCATATCAGAATAAACTTTAAATCTTTTGTTATATGAATGTCAATATGTCATGAGTATCTTGTTCACAGACCAGAAGTGAATTTGAGGATTAAAGACCTCAAGGCCATGTGAATTTGTTTGGTACCCAAAAGTTTGCATCAGAAGGAGCTGAAAGTGAATTCCCACCTTGGTCCTTTCAGTTAGAGATAATCAATTTTTCCAACAAAGTCCATAGGCACCTACAAACTAGTTAGTACCTCTTCATCTCTCTCGATCGTTCCCCTTCTCTCTCTCTCATAGACGTTTGCACACTATGTATGCACCTAGATTCATCAGTCTCCCACACATCTAAATTACTTATTTCATGAAATTACCATATTATAATGGAGACAAATATTTTGAAACATGATCTCGAAATGTCAAAAAAAAATCATTTTCTTAGAATTTTTTATTGATATATTAGAATAATTAGTAGGTTTTTTACCTAATATCTAGTATATTTTAATCTATATTAGAATAATTAGAAATTTTCTAAATTTTCATGAAAATTTGCTTTCAACATTATTTAGGTCTTTAGAAAACCTTAAGAATATTTGATCTAACTGAATCGAA